AAAATCCTGCGGATTGTCTTTCAAGAGGCATTACTTCTCAGGATATTTTAACACACACTCTTTGGTGGCAAGGGCCAACATTTCTCGTGGAAAATTTAAATTTGAATATTGTAGATATAAGGGATGATGATGTTATTGAGAACTTACCAGAACAACGCAAGGTCACGTTGTCTCAAACGGTTTTGGAACCACTTATCGAATGGGCTCGATTTTCAAAATTTGGGAGACTCCAAAGAGCAGTAGCATACTGTTTGAGATTTGGGAAAAAGAGTAAAATTACTGGTCCGATATCTGTCCAAGAATTGGAACTTTCACTGCATAAAATAATTGTATTAATTCAAACAGAGTCGTTTCCAAAAGAAATTGAATTTCTAAAGACAAAAAATAGAGATGAAAATGTATCAATTTTTAAAAATAGCAGTTTGAAATGTCTTAATCCATTCTTGGACCACACAGGTGTCATGAGAGTAAATGGTCGATTATCTAAAGCAAATATTGACTACAATCAGAAGTTTCCGATTGTGTTGCCAGTCAAACATCATGCTGTTAGATTAATTATTCAAATGGAACATATTAGGCTTTTCCATGCAGGTCCGCAAGCGGTGTTGGCAAATTTGAGGTTACAGTATTGGCCAATTCATGGCATGGTAGAAGTCAAATTTGTTCTTCGAAAGTGTGTTATATGTCATAGATTCAAATCTAAAACATCTACACAACTTATGGGATCTCTTCCTCTTGATAGAATATCAGTTGCTCGTCCTTTTTTGAAGGTTGGCATAGATTTTGGAGGACCTATTCTAATAAAACAATCAAGGCTGCGAAGTACAGTAACAACTAAAGCGTACATTGCACTTTTCGTTTGCATGGTGACAAAGGCCATACACTTAGAAACTGGTCAGCAGTCTAAGTTCTGAATCTTTCCTCCACACATTAAAAAGATTTATAGCAAGGCGTGGTTGTCCTATCACAATATATAGCGACAATGCAACTAACTTCCAAGGGGCGAACAATGTATTAAAGGAAATATATTTATTTTTTAAATCCCAAAATAATCTTAATACTATAAGTGATTTTTTAGCCAACCAGAAAATTGAATGGAAATTCATTCCTCCATTAAGTCCTCACTGGGGTGGGCTTTGGGAAGCTGGGATCAAATCCACAAAATTCCACCTCAAAAGAGTAGTTGGGAACTTAACGTTATCATTCGAAGAAATGATTACAGTTTTGGCGCAAATAGAGGCCATTTTAAACTCTAGGCCACTCTGTTCTGTTTCTTCTGATCCATCAGACTTGGAATGTCTTACTCCTGGGCATTTTTTAATTGGGCAGCCTTTAACCTCGTACCCTGAAAAGGACATATCCAATATACCCGAAAACAGACTGAGCTTCTGGCAATTGTGTTCTAGAATAAAACAAAACTTTTGGGATCGATGGTCACGTGAATATTTAAGTAGGCTACAAGCTCGTCCCAAGTGGTGTTCAACACAACAAAATTTGAAAAAGGACATGGTTGTTCTTGTAAAGGAGGACAACTTGTCCCCGTTAAAATGGGCATTAGGTCGTATTTTAGAAACTCTTCCAGGATCTGATACTAAGGTTCGAATGGTTAAAATAAGGACGAAGGAAGGTGTATTTATGCGTCCTATAACAAAGATCTGTCAATTACCATTGGAAGAACAAAAAGATGGTTAGTTGAAGCTATCGCCTCAACGGGGGGGAGTATGTTGCAACTCGCAGACAATATAATACTATTTTTATTTAGTTCGTGCTCTACTACATTTACATTGCGGTCGAGCCATTTTGGCACAGAAAGCGTGCGCCCGCTGGTTATCATCGACTCTCCAAGGGTTCACTATTTATTCAAAAATAAAAAATAGGCTAAATTTATATTTAAGGTAGATAAGAAGTTTTTTGCTCGCTTGAGCCTTTTGTGTTGAAATTCAAGAGAAGGGATAGACATATTCTTTTGTGTATCCCCAAAAGAAATAGTTTTTAGTTTTAAGTTGGAATTTCAGATGAGAAGAGGAGATTTTTGTTCAGTTTATTAGAGGATGTAATTTAGTTTTGATTTACCAGTTTTACATGAAGTTAAAGTAAAAATTGAGTTCTTAATTAACGGTGTCTTATTTTGACGGATCCAGATAGAAGAAATTTTACTTGGAAACTGTCGAAAAATCCTAAGGAAAAATACAGTCCACAAATTTTACGGTTTTTGAGCTACGAGTTGGAACATTACACATGAACTTGAAAATATCGCATATGAAAGTGTGCAGAAATTTCGCAGTCTACTTGCTAAAGAAATAAACTCCACTTTCAATAACATTCATTCTCAGAATGTCAATCTACTAAAATCTGGCTTAGTAAACTTGATCAATAAAAAAGGAGAAACAGCGTTAATACGTTCTCTTCTCAATATACTTGTACGATAGAGCTGCTGCTGCAATTTAATATTAAGTGATAACTAAAATAAGTAAGATTTTTTATGGATAAGTCTTACTTATTTTAGCTATATATAGAAAAGGAGGGTTGTTATGTCAACAAGACTAAAGTATCCAATTATAAATATACAACGTAAGTCTAAGCCTAAATCTTTTCCAGTAACTTTAGGAGAGGTTAAATCTTTTTTACGAATTGAAAATGATCAAGATGATAAGTTGATTTCAAGTTTTATTTTTATGGCAACTGATTATGCTCAGTGGCATATGGAAAAGTCTCTAGTAAAGCCAAACGTGGCAAGTTTCATATGAAGGTTATATACCTCGTAGAATCTATTTAAGCTATGGTCCTGTGAATAAAATAATATTGGCTACTGATAAGAATAGAAAACTTAGTTATTATTTTAGTGATATAGGAAGCTATATTGAATTTTTCAATTATTTGAGCATAATAAGAGCTGATGTTGTATATGAAGCTGGTTATGATAGTGTTCCTGAGCAAATAAAGCTAGGTATTAAACAGCATGTTTCTGCTCTCTATAAAAATCGTGAATCAGAAGTAAGTAGCCATTTATCTGAAGTGAAGAAGGTGTATTCTCCATTTCGCGAACCAAAGGTTGTTTTGTAGTTCCTATTTGTCATTCAATAGCAGATACAACAGATGGTGTCATCCGAGTAGCCCCTTCGATGTCATCCCAGTGCTCAGACACTGGGATCCAGTTTTTTCATGATCATCAAAACGTTGTATTTTAAAATAAAACGGCTACTTTTATGCTTACCAACTTAATAAAATTCCTGGATCGCAGTGTCTGAGCACTGGGATGACAAGAAAGAGCTACTGGAATGACATCATTATAAAGTGAACCAGTGTCTGGGCATGGGATGACACCATCTGTTGTACCTACAAATTGCAATCTTCGTAACCGTATCTGTGAGATGGAAAAAATTCAAATTATAAATGAGTTGTATGATAGTATTTATGCAGCATTAAAAGCAAACTCTGATTTAAAGAAATATGTTACTAACATCTATGATTACCTGCCTAAGCAGGTTACTATTCCTTATCTGAGATTGCGCATAGTAAATTATGTTAACCTGCATATGCTATCTAATTTTGCTACAAAAGTAAGATTTTCATGCGACATATATACTTATCATATAAGCAGCATGCTTGCTGCTATAAAGCATGTTAGCTTGGTGGTAAAGAGCATTGGTAGTGAGACCATTTTGGAAAGTAATTGTGCTATAAATCAGCATGATGAAGTTTTACATTCAACAATTAATTTTGATATTTTAATACAGGGAGGTAGCGATGAGCAAATTACAGCTGAAAATTAAAGGTCATGACAATAATTTTGTTGTGCTGAATAATATACGAAACTTAAGGTTTACTTTGCGTAATAACAAAGAAGAGATGAAAGATATTTCCTCTTTTGGCTGGAGAAAAGTGCTTGATTGTGCTGGAAGTAGAAAGATTACAATAAAAATTAATGGCATTTTAAATTCAGTATTGGCTGATGAATTATTGCGTAATTCTGCAATGTTAAACTCTAATAATGATTATGAGATTAGTTTTAATGCTAAGGAGAAGATAAAACTCAGGTGTTCGGTTGAATTGTATGAGAGATATTATGATCCTGCCACTTTTGACAGCTTCACTGTAGTTTCAGCCAGTGCTGAAGTTGTGAACACTTTTCATTAGTGTTAATTTAATTTTTTCATATACAATAATAATAAGTGGGAATAAATTTAAAAAAATTATGAACGATGAGGATCTTTTCGAAGAAGGCGATGATAATGTTGAAGAGAATAGCGATGACAGAAGAGAAAGGAATTTGAAGAATGAAAATCAGCTCGAAGAGCAATTTAAAGAGTATTTAAAACCTTTTGAGGATATTTTAAGTCAAATTGATGAAGGAGTTGATAATTTAGATAGCTACGAAAGGACTATGCAAGTAAAGCGAAGTATAGATAGGCTCATAGAAACCTTATATAGCCAAGCAGCATCTGAGGATATTGATGTAGAACTTGAAACCACAAAACACACTCGTGATAAGACAGAATCCAAGAAAAGAGTTCTGGAAAAGAGAAAGAAACAACTGATGGAAGAGGTCTTAAGTGCTCAACAACAAAAGGAGCTAATGAATAGTAGGGAAAAACATGAAGTAGTAAGTGATGACGATATTCAGAAGGCAAAAGCACGAGTGAAGTCTTCAATTAAGGGAGTGTTGTTTTCAGTTATTGCTCATAGAATGGATCCACGAAGGAGGGCAGGGGAAACTGCTGATGACAATGAAAAGCAAGCTCGTATATATGGCAGGGAAGCAGTTGGTGGAGCTCTAGGTGCACTTCTGAAAGTATTTTTAACTGCAATTACTGACGTTGTACGCGAAATTGCTAAACCACTTCAACATATGAATACACAAGAGACGTCTTTTGCAAAACAAGTTGAAGAAAGCAGAAACCAGGATTCACAGAAAGGTCGATCTGTGTAGGTCAAAGTATAGTTTCAAAAATTTTTTTGAAACTATACTTCTTACATTTCCACCTAATCAAAGTTCAGTACTATAATACAGAATACTCTAACTCTGAAGGAAATGTATTTTCCATAATTTCTTGTACTTTATCAAGAAACCCTTGTTCCATTTTACTGGCATCAAATTTTTCTTTTGATGTGTTGTTTTTTATTTCCTGATAGTATTCCTTAGCTGCACTTTTTATAGCTTCTTGTTTATCATCACATCTTACTGTACATTCGGATTTTTTAGATTCTTTTTCTTTTTGACAACTTGTTTTACATTCTTCATACTCCTGATTGTTGGAAATGCCAAATTCCTTGCTATCCTCGCATTCTGAATTGCATTTAGAAAGTTCTTTTTCTTCTTGTTTATTGCAATAATCATTTTTACATACTTTATCTACCACGTAATTCTCTTTAACAAGTAAATTTAAAAATTCTTGTTTTGGACTCATAAGCTCTTTTATTTTATCAAGCAATTCTTGTTTCATTTTCTCAGCATCAACATTTTGAGTTTCTACTAACGTTTCTTTTTTTAATAAGTTCATTCTTTTTTCTTGATCTCCTTTCATTTTCTCTGCGTTTAACTTACTTTCTCGGAATTGTTTATCCGCGTCTTCAATTAATTTATCGTACTTCTTATCTATTAATAACTTCATACGGGTTTTATGTTCTTCAAGCTCATCATCTGATACTTTTTGTGCCATTTCTTCTTTTTTATTTTTATAGTATTCTTCAGCTGCACTTTTTATAGCTTCTTCATTTTCGATACATTTTTTTTACAAGAATCATGTTCAACTTTATCACGTGGTTTCAAGTTATAATGTTTACTACAACGGCTATCGCATGCTGATTTTTCTTTACTTGGGATAGCTTTTGCCTTTCTCAAATCCGAGCATTGTCTTTGGCATGATGAAAGGTCATTTCCTAATGCTTTGCCTGATTGAAATTTCTCTAATATTTCTTCAATGGTCTTATTTAATATTATACGTTTTGGTGCTGCATGTGATGTCCCTGTGCAATATTCATTTTTACATAAATCTACCACGTCAAGATCTCTACTAAAGTCCTGAAATTTAGTTCCTGTGTTTACTGCGTTGAGTTTGCTAGTAAATTGATTTTCAAACATAAAATTTCTCCTAATAAATTAATATTTTAACATTTGTTAGTAAATTAATTATTAAAATAGCATATTATGCAGTATGTGTATTAAATATTATCTACTCAACGCAAATCACAGCAAACGCAGTAGCGTAATCTCCATCGTCACTGAGAGAAAGGTGTATCCTGTAGTCTTTTGAGATCTTTCTGACAGCAATATATGGTTTTCCTCTTACATCGCTGTATATTTCTATATCTTTCATTATAATACCCTGACCACTACCTCGTGCTTTAATAAAAGCCTCCTTTGCCGCAAAGCGTTTAGCAAAATATTTTGCCCTTACTTCTTGGCTATTATACTTTCTACTTAGCTCTATTTCTTTTTCAGTGTAGATTCTATTGAGAAATTTTTCCCCGTATTTTTGTAATATTCTCAATATTCTGGGTATATATACTATGTCAGTGCCAATACCGTATATCACTTTGCGCTAAAACGATCTATTGCTTCCTCAATCTGCATTTCTTTTACCTCTCCAGTTGCTCTATTTTTTACTTCAACTATATTTTCATCTATTGCCTTTTTTCCAACAATTATTTGCCACGGCAAGCCTATCAGATCCATTCTAGAAAATTTTACTCCTACACTTTCGTCCGTATCATCATAAAGCACTTCATCGCTTTTCAAAGCTTTGTATATTTTATCTGCAGCCTCCGTTACTTTCGTTTGTAAATTGATCAAACCAACTTTAAAAGGAGCTACTGCCTCTGGCCAGATAATTCCTTTATCATCATGGAAAGCTTCTATTATTGCGCCAACAAGCCTTGAAACTCCAATACCATACGAACCCATATGCATATTAACATTTTTTCCATCTTGAGAAGTAACACTTGCCTTCATAGGCTTCGAATATTTATCACCAAAATAAAAAATATGCCCTATTTCAATAACCTTGCTAACATTTAACTGTTCTTGCGGTATAGGACAAATTTTAGGATCATGCATATCGTCTGCAACTGCATATATGCTCTTCAGGCTTTCAATATCTTCACTCTCTAGCAGTTCAGAAAATTTATTGTCATAATATAAAGTGCTCTCACCGGTGCTTGCCAATATATGAAATTCATGACTTAAATTTCCTCCAATTGGTCCTGTACCTGCCCTCACTCCAATTGGAGTAAGTCCCATGCGTTTGAAGATTTTTATGTAAGTTTTATACATCAAATTATATGAATTCAGTGCACCTTCGTAATCTACATCAAAACTGTATGCATCCTTCATCAGAAATTCCCTGCCTCTCATAACGCCATAACGAGGTCTTACTTCGTCACGAAACTTCCACTGAATTTGATATAAAGAAAGTGGCAAATCTTTGTAACTTTTTACCGTATTTCTAATTAAATCAGTTACCACCTCCTCATGTGTTGGACCAAAAAGCATATCGCTTTCATGCCTATCTTTAATACGTAGCATTTCTTTGCCGTAATCATCGTAACGTCCTGACTCTCGCCAAAGACTTGCTGGCTGCACACAAGGCATCAACACTTCAATAGCACCAATTTCATCTCTGATAATATTCTCAATATTCTTAAGCACTCGCAGACCAAGTGGCAACCAAGAATAAATGCCAGATGCTGTCTGCTTTATTAAGCCCGCACGTAGCAAATATTGATGAGAAATAATTTCAGCACCAGCAGGGGTTTCTTTTAAAGTTGGCAGGTAATATTGAGATAAGCGCATTTCATAAATCTGATTGTACTAAGTAATCTTAATACAATCAGACCTGTAGGTAAATTTATTTAAAAAGAAAAGAGAGAGGAACAGTCTTCTAAGAAGAAATAGAAGGTACCTACTGTCTTAAACCTCAAGATAAAAAGGACCTTCCTTCATCACTTTGTTACTACAGCACATCATCGATGTTTTGGTATAGAGTAATCAGAATCATAAAAATAGCTTAGTGTTAGCTATTTTTATGATAACCTCTCTTAAACAATTGATATTTTACAGTGTTTTTGGTAAAATAATAGCTTAAGGCTTAGAATAAAAGTTTATGAGTGAAGCACAAGGTCCAAATATTGCAGAATGGCAGGCACAGCAGCAACACCAGGAAGCCGCTAGTGAGAAAAGTGGTTTCGGTCTTGGTCATAGTGACTCTGTTTCAACAATTGTGGATGGAATGAAGTGGATGTTCAACTTTCATGAAGGAGCAATTGCTGCTTATAATAATGTGTTTGAAGGTTTGGTCAGTGGTAACAGTCTAGTAACGTTATTTGGGAAATCAGGTAATATGTTTGGCATAAAATTTCTTGAAAGCCTTGCTGAATATTTTTCAGGTGGTGGTGGAGAAGATATGCCATCAGAAGGAATGGGTATGGACTACGGTGATGAGGGGTATCATTCGGATGATGATTATCCCCACTCTAACAATGAAATAGCTCAAAGTGCCGATGGTTTGCATGATATGCATGATGCAGGTGATCATCATGGCCAATCTTTTTCACCTGGTCCTTCACCATCTGTTGGTGATGATCATGAGCTTGGTTACTAAATAACTAAGAAGATTTTATTGTAATTAGTGAAAAAAGTTTCAGTTTTAGGATCAACAGGAAGCATTGGAAAAAAGACTGTAGATTTGCTCTTAGAGAAAGGAAGAATATCAGGTGGAAGCACTAAGTGCCAATTCTAACTTTGCTCTGCTAGCACAACAGGCAAATCTACTTAATGCAAAATATGCTGCCATTTCTGATGAAAGGTTCTACAAAGATTTAAAAGAAGATCTACTTGGTACAAACGTCAAAGTAGAAGTTGGTGCTCCAGGTCTAGCAAATGTTGCTTCTCTACCCGTTGATCTCTCAGTTATTGCAATAGTTGGCATCGCAGGCCTTGAGCCAGTTATAAAGGTTATAGAAAGTGGTACTAAAGTTATTGCCCTAGCAAATAAAGAAAGCATTGTTTGTGGTGGCAAGTTACTGCTTGAAAAAGCTAAAGAAAGGAGCGTACAAATAATTCCCATCGACTCTGAACACAACGCAATTTTTCAAGTTTTGCAAAATGATGATAAATGTGTAGAAAAGATTATACTCACTGCCTCTGGTGGACCATTTTTAAATTATAGCCTTGAACACAGTAAATCAGGCACTAAATCACCCTACTTGGAAAATGGGAAAGAAAATCTCAGTTGATAGTGCAACAATGATGAATAAAGCACTAGAAATAATAGAAGCACATCATTTCTTTAATATTAGCCCAAATAGAATTGAAGCAGTAGTGCACCCTGAATCGATAGTACATGGAATTGTCGTTTATCACGATGGATTCAGCTTTGCTGTGCTTGCAGAAACTGATATGGAAATTCCCATTGCATATGCTTTGTCTTGGCCAGAAAGATCAACTTTAAATCATAAATTAGATTTAACAAAGCAAGAAAAATTGACCTTTCAAGAACCAGACCACAAATGTTTTTCTTCACTAAAGCTAAGCATGGAAGTGTTAAATTCTTCTTCTCCACATACAAATAGTATTGTTTTGAACGCTGCAAATGAGATAGCTGTTAATGAATTCTTGAAATCACGAATCGGCTTTTTAGATGTAGTAGAGGTAGTAAAATCAACAATAGAAAACTTTGACAAGTACTCTGATATTAACTCACTATCTGACATAATAAGTTTCGATTTTGAAAGCCGTATTATTGCCAATGAAATTATAAATAGTAAAGGTATCTGTTCAGCAGAGTGATAAAATAAGGTAGACGAGAAAAGACAACTAAATGGTCAAGTAGCCCCATTTCATACTCCTGTCATCCTAGTAGCTGACACTGGGATCCAGATTCCATAATGTCATCCCAGTGCTTGACACTGGGATCCAGAAAAAATTACAAGTAAACTGAGCTTATGCTAAATTCAATGAGATTAAATGAAAAACTTGATTCCAGCATCAAGTGCTGGAATGACACCTTACCTGAACAGATACATCACTAGCACGTTCGTTCACAATAACTTGAGAGAAGCTTACATCATTAATAACTGTATTTGCTCTATACAGAAAACCATATCCTATTGCAAAAAAAAGCAACGAAGTTGCAACAAGCGGAGTTGGGTTATCAACTGCGAAACATATACCAGCAGCAAGTACTCCAGATAACAAAAAAGCACAAGCATAATTAGTTTGTTTCCTTTTTTGAGCAACTTCTTCTACCTTTAAGAACTCTGGTTCTATTATTTCCTTAACATGTTCTTATATGTTAAGAACAAGTCTTTATAAATGTCACGAAATAGCGGTATAAAGACACGCAGAGAGGAGGAACCGTACATATTCTTGGTCATAAGGACCGTTTTGCAGCAAGGTTCTCCTCTCTGGTTTATTATACTGAAAGTTCCGAACAACTGGTTGAGCTTTTAGGCTCGTATATAAGGGTGGAAAATGCAGTATACACATTATTTATGGAGGGATTATGAATTTATCAAATATTATTACCGGCATTGATATTAGCAAAAATAAACTAGATATACATATTCATCCACTTGGAGATCATAAAGTATTTGAAAATAACGTTCAAGCTATTGATCAAATACTTGACTTTTTGCGTTTACATAACGTAACCAAAGTTGGACTTGAAGCAACGGGTGGATACGAAAAATTATGTGCTTATACTTTATTAAGACATGGTTTTGAAGTATATGTCATTCAACCAAGATGGGTAAGAGACTATGCAAAAAGCCTTGGTATTGCTACTAAAACTGATAAAATAGACTGTAGCATCATCTCACGTTATGTTAGTAATACAGACATGCGTGTCACTCCTTTAAAAGTTAGTAGTATTGACTGTTTGAAGCAAAAATTATCTCGCAGGAATCAACTAGTAGAAATAGCAAAAATACAAAAAACCCAAGCTCATCAAGTAACCGATTTATCTATAATCAAACAAATGGAAGAGCTACTTGCAGTTTTACAAAATCAAATTCAAGTCTTAGAAGATGAGATAATGGAATTAGTCGATAAAAATCGAGAGCTTAAAAAAAAGTATATGTCAATAACTAGTATACCTGGTGTAGGTGCAATAACAACTATTACTTTTATTTGTTATCTACCCGAGCTTGGAACTCTCCAACATAAAGAAATATCCAGCCTTTCCGGAGTTGCACCTTTTAATCGAGATAGTGGTTTTAGTAAGGGAAAAAGGTGTATTCAGGGTGGTAGATCACAAATTAGAAAGGTTTTACATATGTGCATTCTTAGTGCGCAAAGGTACAATTCTTATATAAAAATCTTCTTTGATAGGCTATACAATCAATATAAAAAACCATATAAAGTTGCTTCTACTGCTGCAATGAGAAAATTACTTATCCTTGCTAACTCTTTAGTAAGAGACGGTAGACTGTTTACTGAGAAGTATAGCCCTAAAATTGCTTCTATATAGTAATAGCATAGCTGTGAATAAGTACGCCCACACAAATTTTAAGTACTTATTCACAGCTACATCAATTTTTCTATTGACTTTTAACACAACTGCTGCAATACAATCTTTTGGATTTTTGTTTTCATAGTTTTTAATATAAGTTTTGATCTTTGGATGTGTAAGTAATATTTTTACCATGTCTACATTTCCCAACTTGCAAGCAATGTGTAGAGTTGTATTTTTTTCCTTCTTGCCGGTCTTAATTTCCTCCTCTGCACGAGCATAATTTTGAGGTATAAATCCTTCATTAACAGGTTGTAAATTGTCAAGGTATATGCAGTGAAGATATGGACTCCTATCTACTACTTCTCTCTCCTCAAATTCGTACACTGGATAACCATCATGTTCCTTTGGTTTTCTCTTAATAACAGCTTGCTTGCTTTTAATATTTAAATCGATTTTTTTATGTTCTACAAGCCAATTAGCCATAAACTCTAAATATTTATGTTCCTCGTTATTACTAGTAACAAAAGCTGAAGCAATGCACATCAAAGGTGTCATCCCATCCTCAAAAGCGTTAACATTCGCTCCTTCTTTCAATGCTTGTTGAAAATGATCCCAAGCTTTCTCAGGTGTTATTCTTTCACCACTAGCATTTTGAAATTCAATAGCTTTAAACAACTTTTTTGTTGCTTCACTTGTACTAAACATTTTAACCACCTATTACAACAAACTTGATAAAATTATACATAGAAAAAATTAAAATATCAACTATTAAGCTAATGATCCAGAATATACTCCTTCGTTAAGGGAGATTGAGCATTTTCAAATTTTTCTTGAGTACTTCCGAATTCAACAATCTTGCCATTGCAAAAGAAAATTACGCTGTCAGATAATTTTTTAGCCTGCTTCATCGAATGAGTTACCATAATTATGGTGAACCTCAATTTCAATTCTTGTATAAGATTTTCGATTGCATTGGTTTTTTTTTTTTTTTTTACGGATATGCGCACTCGCAAGGAAATGTCCTATCACGCTCGAGAAGCGGCAAGTGCGCGGAAATGTCGGTGTATGTTGGTCTTGAAACGGTTCAGGTTGTAACCTGCAGGGAAAACCGTCGCAGGGAGTTTATTCCACAGCGATGCTGTTCTCCAGAGATATGAATTCTGATATAATGAGGTTCTTGGTGCCTCTAGGTTGACAGTAAATTCATGGTTACCGTCTGTTTGACGGGTTCGCCTGGTAGGTGCTACTCTCGGTGGAATCATACGTGCCAACTCTTCAGAGCATTTTCCGTGATAGTACCTGTAAAAGAGAGTTAAATCGCCCACAGATCTGCGATGTTCGAGACCATCCAAGTTACGAGTAAGTGCGGGGTCATTGATCAGCTTGATAGCTCGTTTTTGCACGGTATTCAAAAGCATTAAGGTATGTTTGGGTGCTGCACTCCATATATGTGAGCAGTACTCCATAGTTGGTCGAATCTGGGCTTTGTAGAGTGTCAGCAATTGGCTTGGTGTGTACAGATGTCTTGTACGAAATAGCACCCCCAGCTTTTGGGACGCCCTTTTAGCAATATCTGCCACGTGACTGTACCAAGACATGTTGGTCTCTGCAGTAACCCCCAAGATGTTCAACTGACTCTGTAATGTGACAGCACTTCCAGATAGCATGATGTTTGGCTCACCGGTGCTGGTCTTTTTTGAAAACAGAGCTGCTTGGGTTTTCTGCGCGTTGAACTGTACAAGGTTTTTGTTACCCCAGTCCTCTATTATCTCCAGGTCGTTATTTATCTGCGATATTTAAGTTAGTCTAAGATGATGGAATTCACGTGCGGAAAGACCTGTGGGTGGTATGAGTGAGGAGCCTACATTGCCATCGTCTGCAAAGCAATAAAGTGGATTTACTGTTTTATCTATGAGGTCATTTATGTAAATCAGGAAAAGAGTTGGCGAAAGGATTGCTCCCTGTGGCACACCAGCATTTATTTGGTAAGAGTTGGAGTTCTGGCCATCCAGTGTAACATAAATGGATCTGTCCTTTAGGGAACTTTCAAACCAAGTGCAAAGTTTCGGCGATAATCCCATTGCTTTGAGCTTGTTGAGCAGATTTTCATGCCAAACTTTGTCGAATGCTTTAGATATATCTAAGGCAATTGTTCTTGTTTCACCCCGCAACTCAATCGCTTTTTGCCATAAGTGAGTGACGTATGTAAGTAAATCCCCAGTTGACCTATATTTTCGAAATCCGTATTGCTTATCGTTGATAATTTTGTACTTTTCCAAGTACTTGGTTAGGTGATTGTTCACAACTCTTTCCATTACTTTTGATATCACCGGAAGTAGAGCAATTGGTCTATAGTTTAACGGATCTGTCTTTTTTCCTTTCTTTGGAATGGGTTGTACTGCGGCAGACTTCCATGATGATGGATATACTCCTTGCCTGTAAGACAAATTGAATAATTAATTGCCATTGGATCAAGAGCAGAGCATGGTTCATCCATTAATAAAATAGTTGGCTTTACTGCAATTGCACGAGCAATGCATAATCTTTGTTGCTGGCCAGCAGATAAATTTAGTGCACTATCTTGCAATCTATCTTTCAACTCTTCCCATAAACCAACCTTAGTCAAACTACTTTCTACTATTTCATCTAATTTTTGCTTATTTTTCACCATGCCATGCAATTTAGGCCCATAAGCAACATTATCATATATTGACTTTGGAAAAGGATTGGGTTTTTGAAATACCATACCAACTTTTGCTCTGAGCAATACAACATCCATATCACGTGAATATATATTACCCAGCCCATCGATTACCAGTTCACCAGTCGCTCTACATCCAGGTACGTAATCATTCATACGATTAAAACAACGCAAAAATGTCGATTTACCGCACCCAGAAGGTCCGATAAAAGTTGTGACTTTCTTTTTGCAAATATTCAAATTTATATCGAATAAAACTTGTTTAGAGACATACCAAAGATTTAAATTTTTAACGAAAGCGTATTTATCGCTCATACTAAATCCTGCATTGAATAAAGTCCTGGAGTTTTATTCTCGCACAACCATATTGCTGCCTGAACCGCCCCTCTAGCAAACGTTGTACGATCAATTGCCTTGTGATTTAATTCTACTCGTTCATCGGAATTGACAAACATGACACTGTGATCTCCTATTACTCCACCTCCACGAGATACTGCAAAGCCTATTCCTCCTTTCCCTCTTATATTTGAATTATTATGTGAATATTGATTGAGCTCAAAATCCACTTTTGCAGCGTTAGCAACTGCTTTACCAAACTCTATAGCTGTTCCAGATGGTGAATCCTTTTTTAAATTGTGATGCATTTCCCAAATTTCAACGTCATACTCATTACCTAAAAGCTTGGCAGCTTCTTTTACCAATTTCAGCAACACATTAACTCCTATACTCATATTTGCTGACCATAATATTGAAACTTTAGCAGCATATTCTTTTAAATTTAGACCTTCTATTCCAGTTGTGCCAATAACTAGCGGTTTTTTAAATTTCACGGCCGCCTTAAGGCATTCTAGCATACATTCTTTAGTTGTAAAATCTATTACAACATCGGACGATTCAAATACCTCACTAATAGAACTTGTAATTTTGATTCCTAAATTGCAATTATTTCCTACAATAGGCCCAATATCTAAGCCTATATACTCACTGCCCAAGCGAGCAACAGCACCTGCTATTTCCACTTTGGTATTCGTAATAAATTCATTGAGTATTTTCTTACCCATTCTGCCTAAGCAGCCTATTACTCCAACTTTGATTTTCATAAAGCTTTTTCCACTATGTTAGGATTTTTTTGAAGCTTTGTCATCTTTATAAGCTTAGCATAACTGTATGAACACCGCCCAGTGCATTACTGACAAAACTCATTATAAAATAGCTATACATCGATGAATCTATTGAAAATTGATACGAAAATGGTCCAAAAAATACAAGTATATTTATAGTAATAAAGTTGTACCAGTCAATTTTCCCCTATGGAGAATATACAAAGAAAAAAAGAGCACCTGAAGAGGTGCTCTTTTTTGAAGGGTTTGTTTTAATAATAACCGTTTCCATTTACACTGGGATTAGTGACATAATGTCCTCTGTTGATGATACTCCAATTGTTGGACTTGGTTGTGTAACTTCTGCATCATAAAACTCCTCTGATTCAGTAGTCACTTCCTCAGAGTAAGATCAGATAAATCTTCTCTAAACTTAGAAAGAGATGCAGTAAAAGCATTTATTAACTCTTGTTTTTTTCTTCAATAGTAGTTTTACCTGAAGATTGTCCTTGTGGGGGGAGGAGAGAAGAAATGCTTTTTGTTATCCTTCGATTAGAAATATTAGAATCCTCTCCCACATTTTATTTACAGAGAAAAGGTAGTTCCGTTTTCGATACAGGTTGAAATAACACGCAAGCTCCGACCGTTTCTTTTCTATGTACAAGTATTTTATTTATCACTAAGATCACCACTAACAATTCACGAAAATATACAATTATGTACAAGAAAACTTCGACTTAGAACTTATTTACAATTTTTTTTCTTACTGATTTTTGCCACTTGGCAATTTTAAACTTCACTATTATGACTTAAACAATCGCGCCTAGAAATACGCGGAAAAAATACCCAACTCACAGGGTGAAAATAATTTTTAGAAGGAATGATGAAATCATAATATGATTTCGAATAAATGTACTTCTTATTGTACGTGGGAAAGCGAAATAGCGAGATGAGCGCTTGACTGACGCGAACACCTCAAAAGCTAGAGAGTAACTGCCCTTAAAAAAGTGGGTCAATAGAAATATATTTTAAAATTATTTTACTTTCAGTGTGTGCGACAAAGAGACTTTGGTGCCAGGTACGGCCCGACTGGCTAGACTACCGGCGCCTTATTCTGCGAAAATAAATAGGGGAAAAGAAATAAGTTTTTATTTTTTTAATTTAATTTTGTTTGGGAATTTAGAATCTCAACATTCTCCCCGGCCTTGAAGCTTTCAGCTTCAACTTAAAACACAAGGGGAGAGTGAAAGAGAGAGAGAGAGAATTACCAAGGCTCAGTTGGTAATAAGGCTAATTTAGTAATGGGCCTGGTGTAAGTTCCGTCAGAAGTTCGTATTTCAACAGCTCGAACTCGCCCGTCTTTACCAGGAAAAATGTTTGTGACTCTGGCCAGCGGCCATTTTAGGGGAAGAGTATTGTCTTCTCTAAGAAGAACCAAGTCGTCAATTTGAATATTACGTTGGTCATGCAACCACTTTGGTCGATTCTGAAGTCGATTCAAATATTCGATCGACCAGCGTTTCCAGAACACTTGTTGCATTTGGGTTATTTTCTGGTAGATTGAAAGTCTATTTTCGTTAAGCTTTTGTAGGTCTTTTTCGGGATAAGCCGTCAGACTTGAGCCTATCAGGAAATGACCCGGAGTCAAACATGTCAAATCTGAAGGGTCATTAGAAAGGGGGCATAATGGCCTTGAATTCATAATTGCTTCAATCTGACAGAGTATGGTTGAAAATTGTTCATAAGTGAACAATGAGTTGCCGATCAATCTTTTCATGTGATATTTAGCACCTCGGATCGCAGATTCCCAAATTCCTCCCCAATGGGGGGATCTGGGTGGAATAAAGTGCCAGGAGGTCTCATTAAGAGAAAGAAATTCCGAAATTGCATTCGAGTTGTTTCTTTTTCGAAAGAAATTGTAAAGTTCTTTAAGAGAATTGTTGGAGCCTGTAAAGTTTGTAGCGTTATCGCTGAAAATTTGGGAGGGATTCCCTCGTCTGGAAATAAACCTCTTAAGAGTTATTAAGAAAGAGTCTACTGAAAGACCAGTCACTAATTCTATATGGACTGCTTTTGAGACCATACAGATGAAAACAGCGATATAAACCTTGATTGAAGGTGCTTTTCTAAGCATGGAAGATTTGATTAGGAATGGGCCTCCGAAATCTACTCCGACTTTCTGGAATGGCCTACTGAAAGTTACTCTTTCCTTAGGAAGTGGAGCCATTATTTGCTCGCAAACTTGATTAGAATGGCGAAAACAAACAACACAATTACGAATTATCCTTTTGGTCTCTCTTAAACCGTCAAGGGGCCAGAATCTCAGCCTTACATTGCTCAATACTGTTTGAGCTCCTGCATGACCAAGACGGATGTGTTCATATTTTAAAAGAAGGGAGGTCACAATATTTTTAGAGGGAAGTAGCAGGGGGTGTTTTTGTTGAAATGAGATATTGGCGTATTCGAGGCGACCTCCAACACGAAGGAGCCCTATATCATCTATGAAAGGTTTTAGAGAAAGAAGCTGTTTATTGGTTAATGGTTTCTTTTGGGAAATTTCGGATATTTCTTTAGAAAATCTTGAATTTTGTATTTGTCTAATGACAAAATTAGTTGTGAAATTCAGTTCCTCAGTAGTTAGAGGATCAGACATTGAATTTTTCTCGAGATTTTTCTTCAAGTAATTAATGAAACGAAACAAGAATGAAATTGCTCTAATGAGGCGAGAATAAGAAGAAAATTTAGAGAATATGTCATCCCAGAAGTTTTGTGTTTGTGGAGCGTTGGTTAAGAGATGAACCTTTCGTTTTTCGGGAACGTCTTGTACAATGACTTCTGGGTCATCGTCAGGAATGACAAAATTGCTATCCAGTAAGAAACCGGGACCCTGCCACCACAGTGTTGAATTCACAATTTCATTGGCAAATGCGCCTCGAGAAAGGAGGTCAGCTGCGTTGTCAGCTGATTTTATATGTCGCCATGTATAGTTCTCTGACAATTCTTGGATTTGCGCAACTCGATGTGACACAAACACAGCCCATCGACTTGCGTGACTTCTGCACCATGCGAGAGCAATTTGCGAATCTGTCCATAAATTAACTGATTCAAATTGAATTTTGTTTTCAAGTATTAAAATTAATTTTTTAACTAATTGTGCCAAGAGGAGCATGGCGCAGAGTTCCAACCTTGCAACAGTAAGAGATTTTAGAGGGGCGACCCTGGATTTCGAAGATACCAAACTAGAAGAAATAGTACCATCAGAATACATGACACGAAAGTACACACAGGCTCCGTACGCTGAAAGACTCGCGTCAGAAAACCCATGTAATTGTATTTTCTCAATACATTTATGAAGAAAAATGGAACGACAAATTTTTTTCTCGGATAGAAGAGGAAAATATTTTATAAAATTTTGCCAATCTTCTAGGACGTCTTCTTCTGTGATAATAACATCCCAATCTAGCTTCTTTTGCCACAGTTTCTGTAATAAAATTTTTCCCTTGACAATAAAGGGGTTTATTAATCCTAATGGGTCGTAACATTGAGCTAGAAAGGAAAGAATCTTTCTTTTTGTAACAGGGGTTGAAATTATTTTTTCTGGAACAGAAATGGAAAGAAGATCTTCAGCTGGTAACCACTTCAAACCTAGGACTTTGCTTGGGCTATCACTTATATTTATGTCATACTCGACGTCCTGGCTTTTACAGATTGTATTTAGAAAATGCTCGCTGTTTGAGCAATATTTGTGTAACTCAAACCCGTGCTTTTTTAGTACAATGCTTATTTCATTGTGAAGCTTCAGAAGGCTATCTTGATCATAGGCTACACAGAGGCCGTCATCCATATAGAATTGTTTGAGTATTGCTTCAGAAGCAAGAGGAAAGTCAGAAATATATTTGAGGGCAATTTCTTTTAGTACACGGGTTGCTAGGAAAGGGGCAGAATTAGTCCCATATGTTACTGTTTCCAGCTGTATGCATTTGAAATTTTCATTTGGGTTTTCCCGCCATAAGACGTTTTGTAAATGCCTATGCGTAGGAGAAATTTGGATTTGTCGAAACATTTTTTTTATGTCGACAGTGAATACATAGGGGAACATGCGAAATCTACAGAGGATGTCATAAAGGTCAGGTTGTACCTGGTAACCCTTAAAACAAATATCGTTAAGAGAGTAGCCAGATGAACTTTTACAGCTGGCGTCGAACACAACTCTCAGCTTGGTACTTGCACTGGCCTCCCGAATAACGCATAAATGAGGAATGAAATACTTGATATCTGAATTCGAGAACTGTGTTGACAAGGGTATGTAACTTGCATGTCCTAAGGAGATGTATTCTTCGATAAACTTTTTATATTCCTCGAAAAGGTTTTTGTCTTTTTTAAAACGGTTTTCTAATGTGAAGAATCGCTTTTTTGCGATAGAGTAAGAGTCACCTAGCTTTTTCTCTTCAGAGGAAGATTTAAGGGGTAAATTCACTTGAAATCGGGAATTTGGTAGAATTTGAGTAGTGGAGGTGAATATTTTCTCACACAATTCGTCTTCTTGCGAAGGGATTATTTTGTCGGATATCTGTTCGATCTCCCAAAATTTTGTTAAAAATTTGTCAATCTGACTGGTGGACAAAAAAGAGTTTGAAGTTTGTATGTCTTCATCACAAGAGCATGAATGACAGGAGGTATATTTTTTGGAAACACAACCGGCCAATACCCAGCCTAGGTGTGTTTCCTGGAGAACAGGTAAATCCTTACCCAATTTGACTATATTTGGAAGAATAATATCATAGTAGGAATCTAGGCCTACCAGGATGTCTATATCGGAAGGGACAGCGAACTCGTCGTCAGCCAGAATAAAGTTTTTAGGAATATTAAGCTGATCTATTTTTATAGGAACTTGGGGAAGCCTACATGTAATATGCGGCAACACGGCGCAGCTTACTTTAAATTTTTTTGAGGGATCTGTATTGGAATGGAATTCAATATCTGTCATTTTCTCAGACATG